CATTAAATATAACTTTGTTATGGATGTTATAGCACGAAAGGAGGTCAATATGGAGTATATTTCAACATATGAGATGCTAGTTGATCCATTTACAAAATCAATCACTAGAGTTGTGTACGTTAAGCAAGTTATTTCTCTAGGGATGTGTAGTTTGTGATTTTGTATTACTTTGTTAAACTATATTTTTTTCCTTCTAATGAATAAGTTGAGAAACTTTTATCATATCATATCCATATTTTATTTTAATGTTGTTTTAATAAACACATAAATTATGCTAAGTTAATGTATATCGGACATACTTTAGGTGATTGACATTCTCACACTAGCAATCGTTCTCATTGTTTGGGGAAATAGTTGAGTTTATTCTAATCCTTGAAACTCTTTGTGCACAAATGATACTTTAACTCTATGTTAGAGTGACGTCATAAGTGACATACATTGTCCGTTTTAAAATCAAGTTAGATCCTGTTGATAAAAGTATAGTAGTGGATCCAAGTTAGACTTTCGAGTATATCCGAACCATTATCTATATAGTATTGTAAGAAAAAAAAATGTTCAATGAGAAAAGGAGTTAATGCCATAGCAAGTGTTTCATACTTGTTTGTGCTAAAAATCAATTAAATAAGGTTAAGAAAAGTTTTGATATTTACTTTCCAAGTATAGATCTTGAGATTAATAAATCTCAATAATATCTTTTAAGTTTTAAGTGGTTCTCAAGCTTTTAGCTTTGTGCTAGCTAGCTTAGTGTGCCATCAACAAGTTATGATTGATTCAAGCTAGCAAACCATATCTATAAAAGCGAACGAGCTAGAAATTAACGTTATTACAAGAAGGGTAAGACCACTTTGATGTTGCATTTACACGTATTCATTGACTAGCCGGTTATGTTAACGAAACATAACTATGGGTAATATGATCTATAGAGATCATGAGATACTTAATGCAATATGTTGAGTATGGGATATCGCTTATTTACTCTACATTGCATGTTATGCGAAAATGGTTACCACATATTCCTAACGGATGTGTAGCAGAAGATTCTCAAGATTCATTAGTATGCTAGTCGCATGACGTATGGATTAGTATGAACCTAATGCGACGTGTCTTCGTGACATTATAGTTTTAAGAGTCTCAAAATAATGGTGCATGTGTAACCATCACGTCGGAGTGGGAAATATTGGAATACAAGCTTTCGTTCGCCCAATTCAATCCGTTCATGATGGGCTATTCTAAAATAGGTTCATTAATAGGATCCGATATAAGTTTTTAGAAACAAATATAAATTATCCGTTGATAAATTTAAATTTAATATTTAAATTATATTTGATTTATCTATAGAGAGTTCAAACTTTCAATCGGATAAGAAAATATTTTTTTATAAATACATCTCTTATATGTATAATCTATAGTACATAACATAAATTTAAACTCATTGCTAATGTATTGAGCTTTTCTCCTCTCCTATCTCAAAAACTTTTAAACCATGCTAGGGTAGTCTAATAAGCCGTGTAGATCATTGATGCAGTCTATGATCTCACATATAGTGTACTTACTGATCCACCAATCAAATGGCTTATGCATAGTTGTATACTCTCACATATTTGTTTCGTTGAAAAAATAAAAAAATTATAAGAGGGTTTAATTAAGAATTTGTGACTGAGAAATTGACCGCAATTGAGAAAACGGTTACAATTACACTTTATTGTAAGAGTAAAATAACACAATCATGACAGCTATATAACACTAAATAACAGTAATATAACAGGAGTGGATGTCTCCAAATAATTATATGATGGACCTTATATTATTTTAAATCTATGGGTATGATAATTTTTTACCATCGACGAATGTACGAACGAGTATCAAAACTGGACAAGGGTATATGTTTGACAGAACTGGACGACAGTCTTTTGTAATGCTTTTCAAGCTCAAATCGAACTCCCATCGTACAATCATTTACTGTGGTTCAAAAAAAGGCAGATCTACGAGGATTTAAAAAATGACTTTCTTTCCCTTATCAAAATGATTATGTTTGTGACTGAAAGAACTCATATAATTTCGATATGACCTACAAAGCTTTAATTTCCGATAACTTTCTTCGTTATTTGTACGGATAACCCATTTCTTTTCAATCTTTTATATTCGGCTATAATGTGTATAGACTGTTAAATGTTAATAGTACAGCTAGTAAAGTTTTAGCAAGCTAGTGGCCATATCATTTAAACTCTGATTTCTGATTCATGACTAACCCTCCTAAAAGATTACCTGGATTTCATCCACCACCAATTCACATGCTAAATGAACAAAGAATGAAGTTTCGAATACTACTAACTTGGGGAGCAGATCATCCTCAATAGATGCCCTAGCTTCTTTGAGAAATTCAAAAAAGACCAAGTTAAAGTTTCTTGAGAAACCTGCAGCATCGGGTGGCAAGCAGTGAATGTTACTAACCAGACAAAGTAACATAAAGAAGGCTGACTTTGCTTCTTGAACCACTTTGAACATCTAGCCATAAAAAATTGGAAAGAAAAAATGAAATGAACCTTTATTTATTTTTTAACACGATATTTTTTTATTATTTTATTTTTTAACACGATATTTTTTATTATTTTTTAAAGGTGAACTGGTATAAACAAGCATATCATGTCAAGTATAAATTATAGCCACCACCTAGTAACCAACTTTATTCCAAAGCAGGACGAACAGTCTTTTATGATGCAGCTTGTTGTTTATAAACTAGCCATACTTTGGAACAAAAGAGATAATCATGAGATGCAAGATGATAGTAAACAATTTCAATAAAAAGGAGTAGAAAACAGAAAACAAACCAATTTTTGGCACTTCTTCATTTTCATTTATTTTTAACTGGAGATGGAATTCTAAAATCAGGACAAATAAAAAAGCAGCACACAAAACTCTAATAAAGCCAATCTTTCTTATTTGCCCCTTTTCATGAGCCAATGGGCTTGCCAAGCTTTAAGTTCTACTGTGACTGGTGACAATAATTGGCACTAGCAACGGCTATTGCTTTATATTCTTTAAACCATAGCCAGCAGGAAAAAAAAGTTTAACACCATGAAAAGTATTATGGTCGTCCAAATCTAATGAGCAGTAACTAATAAAAGAAATCTACTGGCATCTATAATTAATAATTCTAATGCGGTACACAACCTCGCATTGAAATCAATTTGGCTGTCCTTGAGATACGCCGATTTATCAAAAGAAAAGGAAAAGGCAACACCCTATGCTCGAAGTGAAATTCATATTCAGCTTGGCCAATTGCGACACAAGTGGAGATGTGGCCATATGCATATGAAAATCAGAAGATTCAACTTCATGGAAAACGACATCAGTAAGAAATCAGATTATGACCTATCGTCCACAAAAAGGAAGCTCTATGCACTGAAAACCAAAGCATAAAAAGTTTTCCTTCCAACTGGAGTGGCAGAATGCAATTACAATTACTGGGAAGCAGAATCAGTCCTTTAAAATAATGGTATCATTATTCATGAAACAGATACTATAAAGGGCTAGACAAGAGAATGCATTCTTTTCCTCACAAGATTTAGTAACAGCTGTATTTTGCAGACTTGAAAGGATTGAAAAGATAAAAAGCTAAAAAGGAATAACTAGTCCTTCAACAGACGCCTTATCGGTCGTTCTCCTTTTAAAGCTTGAGCTTCATCACCAAGTTGGTAGGAGAGGAATTCTACTGGAGAAATATTTTAATACTAACTTTCCTTCCCTTACTTACAAATGCCAAATAGAGGTAAATATTAAGTATATGAATTATTTTATATAAATCACGTATATTCACAATGAACTTAATCATCTAAAACATCAAAATACATATGTATCTAGTTATATATATATAAAAAAAAAATCTAAAAAATTCCAATTATTTAGCTTCAGCACTTCCTCTTAATTTGAAATTTTCTTAGTCACTCCAAGCCTTTAGCCTTTCTCTTAATCTTCAAAAATTTTTAAATTTGAGTAGTTTTGTTAAAAATATCAACACTTTAATCATGCATGAGTCTTCGTATATTTGAGCTCTACTTCTTTATTGGCAATATTCTTTGTTTTGTATTCACACTTAACTCTAATAGTCTCGTGTCCTTTGAGAAGAGTCTGCTAATTCCTAAGTATTTACTTTAATATCTTCATCTATGGCTTATTTTCACCTACTATTTTTCATAGTTTTATTAAAATTTAATAGTTCGTTATTTGTAAATAGACAATACAAGTCATTAAAATCAAGAGTAACTTCTTTAGCATTTATATAAATATCTCTTATGTCTTTCACTTTCTAAAACCTTTCACTTGAGCTATCTTATAAAAATAAGAAATAGACGGAGAAGGTGATGAAGGAAGTAAGGAAAGAAGCAGAATTGTATATTGTACTTGCACCTCTTCTTCTTCTTCTCTAAAATATGGAAAGAAATCATAAGCTTTTTCTTTTTGGGCCTCTCAGTTTCATGTTGCTTCTTCATCAAATTCAACATCTCGACTCATCATCACCTTGCCATAGCTTGGGTTGTACAATAGCCTTTGAAATTTGAGTCATAGCCAATAAAAACATACTTCATGCTACGATCATCAAACTTAGACCTTGGCGTACCCCAAATAGATGATGTAATCGCCTTCCATGCATTAGTAGTTTGCCTTGTTGATCTATCCTTAAATTTGCGAGAGTTAATCTCAATATTATGTTTTACTATCCCAAGAAAGACATTATTCAATCTATGATATATAAATTTTATTTCGCTGGATGGGACTCAACTCGTTATTTGTTTGAAGCATGAATAATATTTAATGCTTGTAAAGAAATACTAAAAATTGAATTACTAGCTTCAATAGAATTAGATATCCGGACCATTTGCCCTAACACCCGATTAGAGGCATTAATATTTGCAAGCATCTTGGCTTTTGTGAAATAGATGAGTAGCATTTGAAATCGCATTATTAATCTACATGATAGCTTTATTGCTGGTTTGACCTACTTATTTCAATTCTAAATTCGTAGAATTCATTTTATCAACAAGCTTTCCAATAATGGCTTTCAAATCTGCCATAATTTGAGCTATGGATTTGTTGCCACGACTATCACTATGACTAGTGGCACTATCCGTTGTTGCCACTAACAGAAACATCCACACCGACAACATCACTCTTTGTTGAGACTTGTTCTATAGTCACATTTTTTCAGCGTAATCCAATCTTGAGGTGCCCCAATAGGGGTGGCAATTGTTGTTAGTGTCAATAATAAAACAACCAAATGACTATGGTCAGTTCGTTCTAATCACGGATTGGAAGAAAAAGTGATGAAACCTACATTAAAAATTAACTAGAGATTACCGACTAATTCTAATGGTTAGAAACTAATATAATTTTATTGATTGTTATTTGATTGATATGATTATTATTACAAATAGTTCATTAAATATTTATAGCAATAAACACTCAAACATTAAATAAAAAACTACTTAAGATAATTAACTATTTATCTTTATCCAATTCTAACGTACGTAAAATTTAACTTATTATCACTTGTGTAATCTCACTAGTTTCAATCTTCTCTTGTAAACCATAAACTCGTCTCGTCAAACCTTCATTTACTATGTCTCACCAAAATATATAGGTTTTGTAGATTCGTCTATTGTTGGCACCTTAAAATTTAAAAAGCCACACTTTGATTAAATATGGTATCTTCTTACGATGAAACGAGTAAGACTTAAATGAAATAGTGTGTTTAGTCTTATAACCAACGAAGTTTCTATAAAGCATTGAGACTTAAATAAAATGGTGCGTTTGATTTTATAACCAATCAAGTTTCGCCAAAATATTGAGACTTAAATGAAACGATACGTTTAATTTTATAACCAATCAAGTTTCGATGAAACGAGTAAGACTTAAATGAAACGATACGTTCGGTCTTGTAATCGACCGAGTTCGATGAGTCAACGTGTCTAAAGGAAACGAGAGGAAAATTTACCAATAACTATTCGCATCTAGCTTCATCAAATCCAAGGTAGTTATCGGTCATGAGCTATTTAAAGAAGAGACACTAATAAAATTAGGACACAATCAACATACAAGACTTTTTCAATATAAATTTGTTCAAGTTTTTTGGTTTACCCTATATATAACAATTAGTTTTGACATTCCTACAAGTAGTGCGATAATTTTTATTGCTTTTAATAGTTTTGTTATTATAAGTGTTGATCTATTATCAATTGTGAACAAATGGCTTAGTATTTCGATGGTTAATGATGTAGGTGTCATATTTTTTTATTCATGATATTTACACTTTTTTTCGGTGAGTATTGTCTCTATCGATTGACGAAATTCTCTCCATCTATAAATGTTATTTCTTCGATTAGTAATATTTTTTATTTTTTATTTTTTAAATTGAGTACCCACGAAAAGTTCTAGTAGTTTGCTAAATGAAACCGAACCTCATATTATTTTATCATGAAGTTTTTATCATAAATTGAAATGTGGATATATTTTGCTTTGGGATCAAATTCGATGAGTGGCAACATCTATCAAACATCGTTGTATTGTAGTTTGTCAATTGGCATTCAAACCAAACCATTTTTACTCGGCAAACTCATTATGCTATCATTAGTGAGTTACTTAAACAGTTTAGAGTTTCAACAAATATGTCTTGAAAAATTAAATGAAGAGAAATAAACAAGTTTTATAACTTTTCATGTTTTATTACATTTAGTTTTTGATATTTTAAAAAAATAAAAAATTAGTCTATATTATCATAAATATGTCAAAATTTAAGTTAAGATTGTTAATAGACTCGTCAAGCAATTTAAATTGGTCGAATTGGAGACGAGCCTGCATGTAAGGAATTTTAAATAAGCCAAGCGAGCTTAAGCCTCGTTATTTATGCTAATTATGAACATAAACTTAGCTTCAATCATGCAAAAATTGGGCGAGCCAAGCTTGAACATTTCAAAGCTCGGCTCGGCTCATTTGCAATCCTTTTCTCAATGTTAAAAAAGATTAATTTTAATATTTCTGTAAATTTTTATTTTATAAAACCAAATTAACGTAATATAAATATAAATATATGGATAATAATTTCTATTAATATTAAAGAAAATGAAGGCAATGATTTTAACCTTTTTTAAAAAAAGTGGTTTTAATATGAGTGTATTCAAACTGGTGGTATAATCTGCGTAGCAACAAGCAAGTCCGGATGGTCCTTTTCCTCAAGGCACGAGGCTCCCGAATGAGAAGTTGTAATTTTTACAATACAGCCATGATCCATCTTGTGGGCTCAGGGGTTCAAGAAAAATGGACTACTAACCCTTCTTCCTTCTTATAGAAAAAACCCACAAAACACATTTCATGTAATTATTACCCTAGCACTGGCTCGAAGACCTCGAGAAATTTTATGACATTTTAGAAATAATTATTAATAATTACTTTATTAATAAAAAATAGATATAAAGAAAAGTGAGAAAAAACAATAAACGCGTGTTTATTTTAAATTAAGTAAAAATATTCTTATTATTTTTGTGAGTCAAAAGCGATTTTCTTTTTAATTCTTGTGTATGTTTTTCTTTTTAAAATAAATTCATAAAATAAATATTAGCAATTACTTTTTGAATATTTTTTTAAAAAATTGATCTCTTTTGTGTGTTTGCAAGCCTTGTGAAGCTTCCTTTCGGGAAGAATTATCCCATCGTTTTAAGTTTTTCTATATCCATTCAATTAAATTAAAAAGTATTTAACAAAAGCGCATCTAGTGTAGTGGTATCATAGTACCCTCCCACGGTACTGACCGGGGTTCGATTCCCCGGATGCGCATCTTTTTGTTTTTTTTTTTTCCCGCACAATCATGATCTCTCTCTTTTTTATTTGTTATGTATTTGAATTTTTTTATTAGTTTTTGATATCCTCAAACTTTTAATTTATTATGATTTAATTCATTTAATAATTTTTAGCTATTATCTTTTCTTCTAAAAATTTCAATTCTTGACATTTTAAGTTGAAATTTTACACACACATTGAAAAAAATTCAATCCATTTTGAAGAAAAATTTCAAAATTTTTCAAAATCAAAAACTATATATATATATATATATTATTTTTTGAACATTAAAAATGTAAAAAAAGGAGAAAAATAAAAGATAACTTCAAAGTTATCCTAAATGTTTTTAGGAGTCCCACATAAATCTCAATGAATTAATTCAATCATGAAAATATAAATGATTATTATTATTATTATTATTATTTTGAGATAAATGAAAAAAAAGTAAAAGATGTACTAAGTCTGAAAAAAATGAAAATTTAAAAATCTTCAAAACCAATAAAAAATCCAAATACTCAAATGTAAATGATTTAAACTTGAAGGATGGGTTTTACCCTACTTTTTATACGTGAAAGGAGACTCACTCTTGCGGACTTTCATTCTTGAAAACACTACGTTTTGGATTGCAGTTGCTCTTTCTTCCCTACACGTCTCATGAGAACATTCCAAGAGCTAAGCCCCACCGCAAACAAGATAATCCATCTCCTAAACAAATGTACTTCTCCAACTCACATCCGCCAAATCCAATCCCAACTCATCCTCCATCATCTCCATTCCAACACCACACTTGCCTGCCACTTTATTACTGCCTCCCAAAAATTTTCCCTCTTACACTCATCTTTACCTCTCTTCTTCACCCACCTCCACAGACCCCATGTTTTCATTTGCAACACTCTCATTAGAGCGTTCTCTCGCATTCATGACCCACTCATTCCTTATTCAATTTACACCCACATGCACAACAACTCTATTCTTCCTAATAACTACACCTTTCCCTTTCTTTTCAAGTCTTTGTCTAAATCTAGGCACTACTTCAAATGCCAAGGTCTTCATTCTCATGTTATAAGATTAGGTCATCTGACTGATGTTTATGTTCAGAATTCTTTGCTTGATGTCTATGCTTCGAGTGGTTACATGGGGTTGTGTCGTAAATTGTTTGATGAAATGTCTGAAAGAGATGTTGTGTCGTGGACTGTTTTGATTATGGGGTATAGGAATGCTAAGCATTATGCTGATGCTTTGATTGCTTTTGAGAAAATGCAATATGCGGGCGTAGTGCCTAATCGTGTTACTATGGTGAATGCATTAGGTGCGTGTACGGGTTCTAGAGCGATTGAAATGGGTGTTTGGATACATGATTTTATAAGGAGGAATGGATGGGAGTTGGATGTGGTTTTGGGAACTTCTTTGATTGATATGTATTTGAAATGCGGGAGGATTGATGAAGGGTTGAATGCTTTTAGAAGCATGAAAGAGAAGAATGTTCATACTTGGAATGCGGTTATTCAAGGGCTAGGTTTTGCTAAAGGTGGGCAAGAAGCTGTTAGGTGGTTCAAAAGAATGGAGCAAGAAGGGTTTGAGGCAGATGAAGTCACTTTGGCTAACGTGCTTAATTCTTGCAGCCACTCGGGGTTGGTTGATATGGGTCAACAGATATTTAGTTCTTTGATCAATGGAAATTATGGATTTTTGCCTAGTGTCAAGCATTATGCGTGTATGATCAACCTCTTGGCTCGCGCCGGTCGTCTTAATGAATCTTTCAAATTAATCAAAGAAATGCCTTTTGAAGCCTCGAAGTCTATCTGGGAATCGTTTCTGAGAGGTTCTAGGGCTTATGGCAACTTAAAATTAAGTGAGATTGCAGCTAAGAAGCTCGCAGAATTGAAGTCAGATAATGGCGCTTATTGTGTTGCTTCTGTCTAATTTATATACTGTGGGATGACGGAGTGATGTTGCAAAAGTGAGGGAGGTAATGAAAGATGGGGGACTTATCAAGACTTGGGTTGTAGTCTGAACGCCTGGAACATGATTATGAATTAATAATGCAACAAGTCCTTTGCCTTTTCATGGAAAGAAATAGCACTCGCTTCTGTGCATATAGATGTTTGTATCGTGCCTAACGAGGCCATATTTAATGTGATCGTGATGTCCCCGGCAATACATTATCATTGCCAGATACTGACTTGAAGGCCCTGATTTTACTGTCCGAAGTCTCATAGTTATAACGGGCAACGGCACCGAAGTCCAAGACAACTTTTTGTAACTAACAAGCTTTATTAACTGATCTCCAACTGCCTTTGGCCTTCTGAATTCGTTCCAGTTAAATGATATTCCATATTTCATTGTCGTGCTTGCTTAAATCCTTTACTTAATAATCTTTCAGGTGAGTAGAAAAAATGCTCCTCATTTTGAACTCGTCGCTGCAAGGGGACCATCCTTGGGTTATGATCTTAAAGACTTGAATGAAGGGGTGCACTGAATAGGTGATCCATGATATCATGCTACCAGTCAATCCATTTCTATGACTTTTTCGGATGGCAAATTTTTTTCTTACAGCCATGGTAAGGGGTGTAAAGAGTTAGATGATTGGAATTGGGATGATTAGCATCAGAAATTGTACCAAATCACTGCACCATCCTGAGAAACAGGTGCTACATTTTGACAGAATTTTGGTATTTTGAGAAACGCATCGCTACTCTGTCTTTTGACAGAACTTTGTCAAATGGAGTTATAAAATGAAAACCCAGGGATGCCTTGGCTACACTGTAAACAATGAATGGATGACTGTGTCAATCTTCACAGAGTGCTGACATTCTCCAGCTGAAGACTACTGTATTTTATGATCTATTTAACTACTGTAATCTAACTCAAACTCCAAGCTTCCAACCTCAACTCAAAAGACAAAAAACATGAATAGTACTGAATTGGAAGAGTCTACCGACAAAATACAAAAGCCATTGTGCCATACAAATTCAAAAGAAACAGAGATAATCAATCCTCGACTAGAGGATTGAAGTCTGAACACAACAAGCAAGATACAAAGATCAACAGGTACACACAAACATCTTATTCGCGGGCACTATGGCTAACACAACCATTTATTGTGGCTACAATGGATAGCTACTGCTTTGATTTTAGTTCATGGCAACGACCTTGGACCAAGCTGGCCTGGAGGTGATATCTGCTACCCATGCGCTAACGTGGGGTCGTGAATCAAACAGTTTCTTGATCTGTGTCCCCATCAAGTAACTTATGCTAGGGAGGTGGTGCAAATCTGCCAAGGTGAAGCTATCACCTCCTAAATACTTGGACTGAGTCAACCTTGACTCGTAGATATCAAGAACCTTAGCAAGCTTAGCCTCGTTTTCCTCCACCGCTGCCGTATCAGTGGGTATCTTAAAAAGTGGCTTAAAACATAGCTCCCAGTTCAGCTTTGAAGCTGCCGGTTCAAAGTGATGAGCCTCAACCTCCATCCACACTGATAATGTTGCCATCTGCCTGCCTGGGGTAACCAGCGGAGTCCCCTGGTTAACATACTCGTGGGCAATGTATTGAGAGATTGCCCTGGATTCTGCATGCCAAAACGATCCATTTGTCATATAAACACTGATTAAACGCATCGGAATGCATGTTTATCAAATATTGAAGCATATATAGGCAGAGACATTATACCAAAGAGTTTAAGATCTCCATGTTCAAAAGCTGGGACTTGACCAAATGGCTGAAACATCCACACCAAGAAGTTTAGATTCTGAATGGAGTTTAGGAAAATGTTTTCGTTTTTCTACTCATAAGACATGGCAATTTCACGCTTACATTGAGGGAAAGGAAAGCCTCCTTCTTGTGCTCCCCCACCGCCATGTTGACAGGGACAAACTCAAACTCAAGCCCCTTCTCATAAAGGCAAACCAAAACTCGCCTTGTAGCTGTTGAGAGTACGCTTCCGTGGACTTTCGTGGTGTTTGCCATTTCGTTGATGACCTTCTGATAAAAAAAGAAAATTGGAAAACAAAAAAGGAGATATTATGGTCAAAATGATTTGTTATTGGAGAGGAGTTGGGCAATGATTTATAAGAAGATGGTTCCTTCTCCAGAAGGTTCCATGCGACACGTATATATGAATATAATAAGTTCTTATAATATTAGTAAAACGAAGCTAGTAAGCGATAAAAAAATTAATAATAATAAAGAAAAAGATAATGCTAACTTAGTTGAGAGTTTATTACTAAATTTTCCTGTCACGGGACAGAGCATCTTGATTAGAAAATATTTTTAAAAACATAGCACGATAAACCCATTACATTTTGTCATAAAAGTCTAAATATCCTGTCATTCCTTCCTAAACAATAAAAAAGCAATAGCGACAAGTTGTTGAGAATCCATCACTTTTTGAGTTATAATAAAAGCAGTTTTTCTCTTAGTTTATAAATTTCAATCTCACCCGTCAAATTGTTTGAACCCAAGATCATATAACTTTTCAAAGTTAGTAAGTAGCCCGCTGAGTGTACTTTTGAAGAGGTCAAAGAATTTTTGTTCCTACAATGAGTTTACATTACTTCAATTTAAGTCTATCATATATGTTTACATTACAATTAGGGATGCTAATCAACAAATACTCAATTCATTAATTTATTTTTTTTACCTTATTCATCAAAAAATATTCTACCTATTATCGATTAAAAATTTATTATATAAATCTTTACTCACTCCATATATAATTCATATTAGTTTATTCGTCTATTTAATACATATTACATACCCGTTAAATTTAAATAATCAAAAATATTTATTTTAGTCTCTATGATTTTTAAGAAAATTTTTTTCTGATTCTTAATATTTTTTTTTTGTGCATTATGATCATTTATTTATAAGTTTTTTATCTTCAAAGTGTTTTAAAAAATAATTTAATCCTTAATTTTTAAATTTTATGCAATTAGATCCCTACATATTAATAAGAACAAATCTAAATAAATTAATAGGTATTAATAAGGTAAAAAAAGAATACTCGTATCCTGAAACTATATTAATGGGTATGTTTTTTTTACTTTTATCCACTTCAATACTCATTAAACATTCTGAATTGATATTTATTGAATCGGATAAAGCGAGTATCCGTTTTATATCCGGTTCATTACCATCACTAATTACAATAGGAATTTAATTTATTATCAAATGCATAAGTGCATTACAGCTTTTCTACTGAAAAGATAGAGAAAAAAAGAGTGTAAGAATTTATTTTTATGTACATATTAAGTCAGTGCAGCTTTCAGATTTTAAGGGCTGCAATTTTTTCACGTATTAGGCTAGTTCGGCATTCACATTTAGTTTTTAATTGATTTTAAAAGTTAAATTTTTTAAACATCAGACAAAAGAGAAATAAGTATTTTTTAAAGATAAAAATTAAATATTTAATTTAATGAGTTATGAATATATTTTTTATTGCTCCACTTAAAACCTTTGATAGTGAAAGAACACAAAGAGTTCAAATAAATTTTTTTATTATCAAAAAAGAGTTTGATTTTATTGATAAAAATCAAATTAATGGATATGGTTTTTGTGCCAAGAAACTCTTTTTATACAAAAGTATTGAAGGATTTTTATCACTTTATGGACAATCTAAAAATAAATTCCGTTCTATTATTGGAAAAAAATTTTGATGATTGAAACTTTTTGTACTCGCTTCCAAATCAAACCTTCAATCTTGAATAAAACATAAGCACGATCAAAGAACAAATCTAATCTTTATCTTGTATCCCTTTTTTTGATACACGGATCTAAAACTTTGCTTCTAACTTTTAATCAATTCTTGAAACTAACAAAAAAGAAAACATGGAAAAATAAATCCACAGAGGACAAAAAAAAATCTCTTTAATAAAAAAGAAAACTAACTAATTGACTATATATATATATATATATATATAACTTTCAGTCATGTAACTGCCATGCCATTATATAATTTATCTTCATAACTTCACGAGAAAAGTACATAAGTTTTAACCATAAGTATTTATCGGATATTAATCCAAGTTAAAGGTAAAAATAGAGAGAGGGGGAGAATCTCAGTTCTTAGTTTTCTTTTGTACGAGTTAATTATAACTTTTCCCTTATTATCAAAACCAAGTAATTAATTAATCCTGGTATTTAGAAACTACATATTGAATCTTTATATTTTTAAATTCATCTATGATTTAGTTTTTCTTTAGGTCAATTTCTTTTCGTATGGAAAAAAGAAGTGGATAAATTAAACAATTCAATGGAAAAGGAAGAGATTGTAGAAGGAAAAAAAAATCAAGGATGGTGACTTTTGTTAAGATACTACTAAATTATTTTTATACTATGAAATTAATTAATTAGTTTTAATAAACTATAAAATTTAGTTATAATTAACTCAGTTGCATGTGCGTGGAACACTACTTGAAGCCTCTTTCATGATAATAGACTCGCTGTGCTTTTTCAAGGTTTTTTTTTTTTAATTATTTTTCTCGCTACCTGACAAAGGGTTGTTTGGTAGATAAAAAAACAGCAGAATTTCAAAATAAATCAAACTTCGACAACCAACGCACCGCCCAGCCTTAAAAGTCTTCCCAGCAAATAATAAGGAAAGGAGAGCAGCAGACAAGTCTCGGTTTGATCGGACTTGAAAATTGCCCAAGTTTTTCCAACTTGTTAGTTGTTATGCCAAGCATGTGCTGTTGGGGGGACCGTTGACCCGAAAACATTGAAATTTTTAAAGACCATCCGTTCATCCATAAGTTTTTTTTTTTTTTTTAGCAATCTACCCTCTCATCCTTGAATTCCTATGTGTATATATCGGATTTGACTATATACTAGTTTATTATATTTTTAAATTTAAAATGAATTCAAACTCTACAATAAATAGGTTTAGTTCAGTATAAAAATTGAATCGCGTAAGTATTGATATAGGTATTTTAACATTATCAACATTTATATCTTATTTCTAGATTTATTAGAAAGATTTAATTGGTATGCTTAGAACAAAATCTTGTTCAGAAAATACTTAATTGTTACTTAATTTATCTTTTATTAGCAAGTTGAAAAAGTTTACTCAAAATAATTTTTTTTTTAACTCAAATCCTATCGTATAACATGAAATAATTTTAGCAATTAAGAATCATCATCATTTCACTATAAATCTAAATCTCACATCAATTGTTAGGAGATTTTTTTAAAAACTTTTGGCTCATTTTTTTGCTAAAGAAAACTACCCGCATTCTCGACACCCACAACTCCTTACATTCCATCTATTTACATTTCGACCATCTACTCATCTATTATTTTAGTGTATTTTGATAGTATTATTTATTTTTCTTCTCATGCCTCTAGCAATTTGCATTTATTCTATTTGATTGTCGTATTGTTATTTTTACAAATCACAATACTAACTCAATTTTTGTAATTTGACCAATCTATTGACCTATTATTAACTTATTCTAAAAAAAAATCACACACATATTTTGTAAGTACATTACTTTTATAGCATTTTTAAATGACATTTATCAGTATTTCTTATAACATTGTTTTTTCTTTTTCTTAAAAAAAAAGTAGTTATACTAAGTGAAGTTAGCCAACACTATGATTTTTCATCAATACTTTAAGCAATTGCCAATACTATGATTTTTTTCTCGAAAAGGAAAAAAAAACTCTTCAAAATTTTCAATCTGGACAGTCTATAGAGTAATTCGTTGCATCTCACACGCATATGATTTCAAATTAAATCAACAAGAACAGGAGCTACGCTACAGAGACTACGTTACTGAAAAATCAAAAACCACCAGTATTAATTTCCTCGATTAGAAAAAAAAACAAATCACCAAACCTTATACAAAAAGATAAAAAATACAACAAGTGAAGGGAATACATAAGCGATAAAAAAAACCGTGAGGATATATATAGCATAATCTGAAACTATATAAAAAAAAAAAAAAAGGAAAGAGCTGGAGTAAGTTATAAATTAATCATTCTAGTTTTGCAATAAGAATTAAATAGTCATTCTAGTTTTAAAAAATAATTAATTAATCACTTAACCAGTATCAATCATATTTAATTTAATATTATTTTTTTAAAAAAATATATCTTCTTTTATCATTAATCTTTTCATATTTTTTTTTAATTTCTTAAAAAATTGAAAAAAAAAAACAGGAAATGAGAAAAGAGACTAATTCATTAGTTTTTAAAACTAAAAAAAAAAAAACTATTTAATTCATGTTGCAAAACTAGAGAATCTAATTTATAATTTACTCAGAATATCATGCCATAAGAAAAAGAAGCTAGCTTTAATTTTGAGATTAGTAAATGTAATCATTCTATATAACTAAAAGATCCAAGGTTTTTGTAATTTTTTGCAACTTTCTTTTTTTTTCAACTTGCTCTCTTTCCTCTCTTTGCCCATGCCACTTGTCTGGTAGCCCAAAAAGCAATTGTTCATGGTCTGGTTGAATTCTTAGCTTCCATTTTTTGGCTTTACTGAAGATAATAATAGAGGAATGTGTGGCAGAGATTATTGGATTAGTCTTTGATTGGCCTTTTATTATAGAAGTTTAAAAAACGTTTCACGCATACTGAAGAATGTGGCTGATGTACTAGACAGTTTTTTTTTCCTTTGATTTTTTTATGAATTTATGTTTTTTTTTTTTATATAGCTAGGTTTTAAAATTTTTTAAAAATCAATTCGTTATTTTTTTCACATAAACTAACGATTATATAATATATACGATCTATTTTTAGATTTTAAAATAAATATATACTATTCTTATTGTTTAAAAGTGATCTTTTCAGTTTATTATAAAAATTAAATCAAGTTAATTTTTATTCTTATTTTTATATAATTTTATTTATTAATAAATATGATTTATTTTCTCTAAGTATGGATTCGAATAAGTTTATTTATACCTGTTTTTATTTGCTTAATTCTTAATATATGTCATACATTCTTACCCATTGAGTACAATCATGATGTATAAAAAATAATAATATCGAATCATTAATTTTATTAAAAATCAACTATGCATCTACACACAATATCAACTATTTGCTATTATTTTTTTAATATTTTAAAATTAATTTTTTCAAATAAACTAATTAAAATAATATTTTAGAATAATCGTTTAATAATTCAAATACAATTTTGTATACTAATATTATTCATTATTTTATAAATAAATATATATAAATCAAATGTATATACTTAAAAAAAATAATATTCTCATCGGTAAAAAAGCTTCATTTGTTAATTTTCATATAATTTTTTATATTAATTGTTGTTTTATTTCTTCGATGCAATGCTATAAAAAAATATTAAGACATTTTTTAAATTTATATTATTTTTTTTGTACTATGGGTTTTCATTTAAGAATAAATGCATAAGAAAAAAAATCATATTTTTTTAACTTCAAAAATTATTCAAAACATAAAAAAAATATGTGAATACAAAATTTTGATTAAAAATTATAAAATTAGATGAAATTTTATCTTTTATATTTAATTTAATGTATTTTAATTAATCGGCAATATAGTATATGTTATAAAATTGAAATAAATATGTTTGTTCGATCTACTGTGTAGTGTCGGAATCCCAATTGTTCATATGTCTAAAATTCTTTTTCACTTATTCTTCATATGCATAAAACTACTATTTATTTGATGGCAATTTAAGTAATTTTTGTGTGTGGTTTTTTTATATGTTTTTTGGCATTAATATGCAAATTTAACACTTTTTCCTATTTTCGTCTCTCATGTTGTAACAGCTTTTTTTCAATCCTCGACTTTCATTTTTTTTTCATTTCCATGCAGCGTATATCTATTTTATTTTAAAATTAACATATACTTTAACTTATATGACTCTTATTATTTAAATTTCATTATTTCAATTGATCATTTTTTAATAGAAATTCTCATCCAATAATATTTTTATATAAAATTTTATTTACTAATAAATATAATTTATTTTTTTCTATGTTAGAATTTTAGAATAAAATTTTAAAACATGATTTTTTTTTTTCAAAAAATAAATTGGTATAATATGTATCATTAATTCTTATAATTTTTAAATGATAGTTGCATATATATATATATATATATATATCTAAAAGATGAAAAATATTTCAAATAATTTATCTCAACTCGCTAGGTATGGTCAAATAACTATACATCTTCTAACATAATATAAATTATTTACTATGAATATTTTTTTTAACGTTATAGAACCAATTTATTTGAAATAAAATAATTTAAATAATTTTTTAAAGGAACCAACCAATTATTTAAATATAATTTTTCATGCTAATTATACTGATTATTCTTTTGTAAATAAATATATAGAGATCAAATGCATATACTTTAAAAAAAAATCTTCTCACAAATATTAAATAAAAATAAAATTTTATTTTTTATTAGTTAATTTTTATGCAAATCTATACATTAATTATAACTTTAATTTTTGGATACATTCTTATAAAAAAATATTTTTAAAGTATTTTTTAATTCTTAATTAATATTTTAGGTTTAAATTATTACAAGTTTTTGTTTAAAAAACCCTAATTAAAAAAGAATAAATCATGTTTTTTTAAGTAGAAATTGTATGAAAAACATATATATATATAATTAAATAAAAAAATTATAAAATTTTGAAATGATTTTGTTTTATATGCCCTCATAATTTTAAAAATTAATTTTCTCATCAGCATTAAATAATAATTTTTTTTATTTGTTAATTTTTATAAAAATCTATCCGTAAATTATAATTTTATTCTTTGAAATAAAATATTATGAAAAATATGTTTTAAAAGTTTTTTTTTAATTCTTGAATAATATTTTAGTCAACATTATTATAATTTTTTTATTTTAATCAATCCATAAAGAAATGGTTTATATTTTTTAAAAATAAAAATTTACGAAAAATATTTAAAAAATTAATTAAAATTTTTTGAAAATAATTTTTTTTCTATCAAATTCGTATTGCAGCATGAGCAATCGACTAATATAGTTATACAACAAGTAGATAGTGTTTGAGGAACGACTTGCGAATGTAAAGAGTGAAGTCTTATCAACTATCATAGTGCTGTGCACTTGCCTACCTGATCACAGGTCTGCGTCAACTTTGCTATTGTTGGTCCTTTGAGCACTAACTCCATTATATGGCGTCTGCATCACCCCATCAAAAAAGGATTTTTTTGTATGTCTGAGGTGCAACTGCCCCCATCCACCATTCCAACCAGACTATCAATTACCCTCTGAAAAGGAAGTAACTTTAATCTATTTAACAACTTTCTCTGACCTTTAATGCTGATCAATCGTGAAAAGATACGACGAGGATCATTTATTAATTGAGCAAATATTGCAAAACGACTCTTTGAAATATCAATGACTAGCATATTTTTGCAGCATGAGACAAGAACATGTGTCCCATAGAATTTTGCAGCGCGACAGCAACATCCAAAGTACTCTAGCAAACTGTGTCCCATAGAAAATTAAGAGTTGGAAGCATCGCGGCACGTTCGATATATTTTTTTTTGTTTGTTTGTTTGTTTTTTGCAATCAAACTAACCATACTCAAGTACCAAGTACAATGGAAAAAAATTAAAAAGATTATTAAAATTTTCTATGAAGTACAGTTGATCCATTACAATAAAGTTGAAGAATTTATACGGATAAAAAAGACATCAAAACCCAAAATTATCAAAACATACATAAATAAGAAAATTCATAAAAAATTAAATAAGATCAGGTATAAATAGAGATAGTGAAACTTATAATTAAAGATTCATGAAAGAATGGATACTTGTTGAAGATTCATGGGTATTACCGAGGAGTGAATGATAGAGGCTACTATGTATATTTTAGGTTTGATGGAATCAAATAGATTGATAGATTTGATGAAGTAAAATGATTTGGTTCATGACCAATGGCCCTGCGTGCATATTCATGGGTTTTTTGAGAGGTATGCATATGTATGTGTGGGTTTTGGTTCTTGTTCGTTGTTTAGAAAGAAGAGAAGAAGAAGATTGGAGTTTTTGTTTATCAAGCAAATAAGAGAAAAAAGATTGAGGCTCTTATTCGTCATGCATAAAAAAGAGAAGAAGATTGGAGTTCTTATTGGTCGAGCAAAAAAGAAAAGAAGAATTTGGATTTGGTCCGGCTTATTCGTTAATCGAGTAAAGAAGAGAAGAAATTAGGGATTTGGTTTTTTAAGATTTGAATTAAATTAGGTTAGTTGGTTTTAAGAATTTATTTTTAATAAGTGAGTGGGTGACATATCGTCCATCATCGGTGAATTATAATTCATTTCACGTGTCATCCTATATGGATTTTCATCCAAGTCGTCATCTTGTCTTACCACGTCGGATAAACTCGAAATCTTGGATGAAAATGATTCTCATACTAAAATTGTTATCGAAGCATAATTCATGTATTTTCCATACAATTTTGAAAGAAAGTGCCATAAACATTAAAAGGTGTATAATTCATGCTTGTACGTTACAATAAGCTTTATGAGAATTATATTTGAAAAAACTATTATACATAGATAATTCAAGAACACTCAAGAGGTTCTAATATCAATGTAATAAAATATATAAATAAAAACACAAATAACAAGTTTAGGATCGAAATAATACTCACTTGTAAGTAGTTTTATTAGATCATTAGATAATGATATTGAATTAATGTCTAATTTTTACAATCCAATTGCAAGTATACTCGCTTTATATATATGAGAATGGATAACTTCTCCCGCAACTATACAACAGCTTGCTTCCTTTTTTTAAAAAAATATAATTTTGTTGTCGGATCACCCGTCATGGCCGATCCAACCCAAATCCACTTTTCTAACATTATAAATATATGATGGATTGATGATATTTTTAGATGACATACACGGGTTTCTAAGTTTTATTTGTTCGATATATGAATTTTAAAACTTGAATAATTTGATAAATTACTTTATTCGATGATTTTTTTTTTAAATAGAGAATGTTGGGATTTAAAAGTTGATGAATGGGAATGTCTACAATGGTTGGAAGATCTTAGAAAGTAATATCATGTCTTTTTTATATAACACTTTCAATTATGCTATTTTTATTTGCTAAAAGGATTGTATTTCCATTCGGAATCATTACAATAAAGTTGACGTGGTTATAAGAAAACATTTAGTATTTTGATATAAGTTAATTTAGACCATTTGGCTATAAGAAAAACTCCATAGTCCATAACTTTATTTTTTAAAAAAAAAATCATTTTTTACCAAAAAACCGAATCGAAAGCTTAATAAAAATATAGTTTGACTATGGTTTTTTTTTCCTTATTAACCGAAAATAAAACCAAAAAACCCCATGCTCACCTCTAATTAGTTTTATAAGTTTTTTTTTTTTTTTATCTTATGTATCAAAGACTAATGCTTGATAATAGAAAAGGGCAAAAATTATGTTTTACATTTATTTATGGAAAGGAATCGAAATAATTAAAGATATAGACCATCATTATCCAATGCGGATCAACTAATTACCTCTTTAGTAGATACTTTTTCTACACAACCCGTGTTGACCCCAAGGCCATAGTAATACAACCCATGTGCTATATAAGTACCAACAACAAGTGATGACCTAAGTAAAATTGAACACTTTTTTAGATAAAAGAAAAGGAGAGAAAATAAATAAATTTGATAGTACTTGTTAGGGATCAAAATAAAATTACAAATTTAAATTTGAATAATTGGTCGGAGATCAAAGTAGACTGATAAGTACAAAATAAAATAATTGGTCATTTACTAAAATGGAGTTACAAATTCAAATTTGAGTTTGTCATATACTAAAATAGAGTTACAAATTCAAATTTGAGTTATTAGTCAACGACTAAAGTGGAACATAAGTTCAATCGGAGTAATTGGTTAAGGATCAAAAGTGAAGTGACAAGTATAAATTTAAGTAGAAAGCCATGAATCAATATAGAGTGATAAGTCTAAGATGGAGTTACAAATTCAAATTTGAGTTGGTTATGTACTCGTATGAAATACGATTGATCCATTACAATAAAGTTAAAGAATTTATACGGACAAAGGAGGCACCAAAACCCAAAATTATCAAAATAGACATAAATAAAAAAACCCATATAAAATTAAATGAAAACGAGTATAGACAGAGAGAGGAAAACTTATAGTTGAAGATTTATGAGAGAATAGGTATTTGTTGAATATTAATGGGTATTGTGAGGAGTGAAGGGTGGAGGTCTGCTATGTATATTTTAGGTTTGATGGGATCAAATAGATTGGTAGATTTTATGAAGGAAAATGATTTGGTTCATGACCACTCGGATTTGCATGAATATTCATAGGTTTTTCGAGAGGTGTGCAAATGTAGGTGTGGGTTTTGGTTCTTGTTCGTCATTCATAAAAAATAGAAGAAGAAGATTGGAGTTCTTATTCATCGAGCAAAGAAGAGAAGAAGATTATGGATTTAGGTCGACTTGTTCATCGATCGAGTCGAGAAGAAAAAAGAAGAGAAGAAATTAGGGATTTAGTTTTTTAAGATTTGAATTGAATTAAGTTAGTTAGTTTTAGGAATTGATTTTTAATAAGTGCGCGAGCTATCGTCCATCATCACCGAATTATAATTCATTTCACGTGTCATCCTATATGGATTTTCATTCAACTCGTCATCCGACTTGTCTTGCCATGTTAGATGAACTCAAAATCTTGGATGAAAATGAATCTCATACTAAAGTTATTATTAGAAGCATAATTCATGTATCTTTCATATACCTTTAAAAGAAAGTGCCATAAACGTTAAAAGGTGTATAATTCATGTTTGTACGGTATAATAAGCTTTACGAGAACTATACTTAAAAAACCTATTATAAATAGATAATTCAAGAACACTCAAGAGGCTCGATATCAATGTAATAAAATATATAAATAAAAACATAAATAACAAGTTTAAGATCGAAATAATACTTACTTATAAGTAGTTTTATTACATCATTAAATAGAGATTTAAATTAATGTCTAATTCTTACAATCCAATTGCAGTATACTTTCTCTCTATATGTGAGAATTTAAGGGGATAAAATCTCCTGCAATTGTACAACAATCGCTTCCCTTTAAAAAAAAAAAAATTTTATTGTCGGATCAACCCGTCATGGTCGATCCAACCCAAATTCATTTTTCTAACATTATAAATATATGATGGATTAATAATTTTTTTAGGTGACATACACGGGTTTCTAATTTTTATTTGTTCGATATATGAATTTTTAGAACTTGAATAATTTGATAAATTACTTTATTCAATGATTTTTTTTTTTAAATAGAGAATGCTAGGATTTAAAAGTTGATGAATGGGATTCTATGTTTATTATGGTTGGAAGATCTTAAAATGTAATATCATGTCTTTTTTATATAACCCTTTCAATTATGCTATTTTTATTTGCTAAAAGGATTGTATTTTCATTATGGATCTTAAAGTTGATGATTAATTTAAATAAATATTTATTATTTTGATATAAGTTAATTAAACCATTTGGCCTAGAAGAAAAACTCCATAGTCCATAACATTATTTAAAAAAAATAAAAAAATCATTTTTCACCAAAAAAACTAAATCGAAGGCTCAATAAAAATTTAGTTTGGGTGTGTTTTTTTTTTTGATTAACCGAAAACAAAACCGAGAAAACCCCATCTTCACCTCTAATTAGTTTTATAATTTTTTTTTTATCTCATGTATCAAAGACTAATGCTTGTTAATAGAAAATGGCAAAAATTATGTTTTGCAATTATTTATGGAAAGGAATCGAAATAATTAAAGATATAGACCATCCTTATCCAACACAAATCAACTAATTACCTCTTCACTAGATACTTTTTTCTACACAACCCATATTGACCCCAAGGCCATAGTAATACAACCCATGTGCTATATAAGCACCCACAACAAGCAATGGCGTAAGTAAACTTGATCGATAAAAAGAAAATAGAGAAAATAAATAAATTTGGTATTACTTGTCGTGGATCAAAATAAAATTACAAATTTACATTTGAATAATTAGTCGGAGATCAAAGTAGACCGATAAGTTCAAATTAAAATAGTTCTTCATTTATTAAAATGGAGTTACAAATTCAAATTTGAGTTAGTCATTTACAAAAATAAAATTACAAATTCAAATTTGAGTTGCTAGTCAACAACTAAAGTGGATCGTAAGTTCAAATTAGAATGATTGGTTAAGGATCAAAGCGAAGTAACAAGTATAAATTTAAGTAAATGGTCGTGAATTAAGATAGAGTGATAAGTCTAAAATGGAGTTACAAATTCAAATTTGAGTTGGTCATGTACTAAAATAGGGTTACAAATTCAAATTTAAGTTGCTAGTCAATAACTAAGGTGGACCGTAAGTTCAAATCAAAGTGATTGGTTAAGGATGAAATGAAGTGACAAGTATAAATTTAAGTAGATGGTTAGGAATCAAGATAGAGTGATAAGTCTAAAATGGAGTTACAAATTCAAATTTGAGTTGATCATATTTTAAAATAGAGTTACAAATTCAAATTTGAGTGGCTAATCAACGACTAAAGTGGACTCGTAAGTTCAAATCAGAGTGATTGATTAAGGATTAAAGTGAAGTGATAAGTATAAATTTAAGTAGGTGGTGAGGAACCAAGATAAAGTGATAAGCCTTAAATAGAGTTACAAATTCAAATTTGAGTTGGTCATGTACTAAAATAAGGTTATAAATTCAAATTTGAGTTGTTTGTCAATGATTAAAGTGGATTGTAAGTTCAAATCAAAGTGATTGATTAAGGATTAAAGTGAAGTGACAAGTATAAATTTAAGCAGTGATTAAGAATTAAGATATAGTGATAAGTCTAAAATGGAGTTATAAATTCAAATTTGAGTTGGTCATATACTAAAATAGAGTTACAAATTCAAATTTGAATTACTAATCAACGACTAAAATGGACTATAAGTTCAAACCAAAATGATTCATTAAGGATTAAAGTTAAGTGATAAATATAAATTTAAGTAGATGATTAAGAATAAAGATAGAGTGAAGTCTAAATTTAATTAGCCATAAGGAATTAAAGATGGCATGTGCCAAGACGTAAAAAAATAAAATCAAATAAAATAGAAGTGAGTCCGTTCGCAACCAAGCAATTTTGATGTTGGTCCGTGCATAACCGAGCATTAATTGTTGGTTTGTGCACAAACCAAGCAATTTTAATGGTCGTTCGCACAAACCAACAAAGTAGCTAAGTTTGCGCAACCGGCTATCTACATATATATACAAAAAGACTCGCGTAGCCTTCACTAAGGAAAGATCATGAGGAAATGAGAATATCAAGTCCATATTAAAGAAATGGTTCTCGTCGGTTCTATATTTGTACGTGTATTAAGACACGCCGACCGTACAATGGACATAATTTCGTGTACAATGAATGATCCGGACAACCCATACATAAGATTTTCGAATGTTTCGGATGCCCAACATTTCGGTGAAGGGGTTGAAATGATCGCAATAAAACAATTGAAGGACCGTGAGGTAATTTTGACTTATCATTTTTATTCGTTTTGTACTTATTTATTATTATTGCCTTTTTAAAGCATGGAAACAAATAATGATATCGTAACATATGGGCCTTTGGTAGAAAGCAAAAAACACTATCCATTCCCACGAAGATCGCTTTATTTCCCCGAAAAGGCAAAACCTCGCCCTTGTCAAACGCGGAATACTTCACTCGTCCACCTTCTTTGCACAACTTGTGCTTTCTCTACCAGTGTGAGTTCAAGGGATCATTTGTTGAAAAGTAAACTTAATTATGGCTAATTATGAATAAATAAGTATGAATGTAGTCATTATATTCATGAATCTAGTTATGTGTGATGTGTCATTAAATATAATGTTTAGTATTCTGTGTGTTATTTAGTATTGTGTGTAATAATTAAGGGATGCCTAGTATCTCTATATATAGTTATAAGTGATTTGATGTTATGTAGAGTGAAGTGAGTTAAGTTTCTAATAAACAAAGTGTCTTTTATCAAGTGTTCTTGTGTCTCCTCCCTCTCCAAGTAATTTCCTTCTTGTTATCTTTGTGTGGTGTCCGAAATTTATCCCCAACAAATTGATATCGAGCTCGGTTCGAGTTCCTATCTCCAACAAAGTGATAATGGAGCATTGGTCGATTATTAGTAAGACGAAGAAAAGGTTGAATTAGGCACAAGTGGTAGAAGTACACAATTGAAAAAGTTTTTCTCCGGGTTTGTTGAAAAGAGAACCCGTTGAGTTGGTGTGAGTTAAGAGTTAGAATCCATAAGAAAAGTAAAGAATTGGTGAAAAGTTCTTTTAAAAGCAAGAGTGAGGTCGAGAAGAGAACCTCGCAAAAAGAAATGAAGTGTATCGTGCTCGTTATTGTTTCGGTACCATTCAAAATGTTTTTTGAAAGAATTACTTGAAAAATTGAATTTGCCTCCGGCAAGTTATTCGTGTGACAAGTTTGGACAAGATCATTTTCCGAATTTATTGCTAAAGTTGAGTTTGTAGATAGATCGGGAAAACACACCCAATATGGATTCAATGCATATACCAAGAAAGATGCCGAAAATGAAACGACTTCGCGTGTGATAAGACATTTAAAGTGTCTATGACATTATCATAAAGGATGTTAATGAAAGAGAATTATATAAAACAAAGTTTGATTTGAACCGGATGCGGGATATATATGAGAATTTGAGGTAAGATTATGATAATGTTGTCCAAGAAATGCAAGAACTGACAAAAAAACGAAATGAAATCTGGAGAATCGAGCACTAATGGAGTAAATTTTAAAGTTCCAAGAAGAATTTTTGCTATTCAAGATTTTTCTCTTGGATGTGGACCAAGTAATTTTTGAAAAATCATGACCAAAAGATAATTAAGTTTACAGGAAGATGTTGAAAAGTAAATTTAATTATGACTAAGTATGAATAAATAAATATGAATGTAGTCATTACATTTATGAACCTAATTATATGTGATATATCATTAATATAATATTTAATATTCTTAATGTTATTTAATATTCTATGTGTAATAATTAAAAAATATCTAATATCTTTATTTAATGTTATATAAAGTAAAATGAGTTAAGTTTCTAATAAACAAAATATCTTTTATCAATTGTTATTATATCTCCTCCCTCTCTAATTAATTTCCTTCTTATTATCTTTAGGTGGTGTCGAAATTTATCCCCCAACATCATTTGGACCAAAACCAGAAGAGCAGATGCCCAACGAAGGGAGCGTTTTAAGATATTTTATCAACAGCCTCGGTGTTATTAGCCACCATCAGAGGGGGAATGTAGATCTATTCCTCATCCGTTTCAGAGCAAAGAATGATCACCACACATTCGCCAACAAAACGAGGCAAATGAACATAAGAAAAAGAAAGAAAGAAAGAAAGAAACTAGCATAACTCGAGTGTTGAAATCACATACATATATTGATCAGTAAAATTTAACGTGAGGTTTCCAAAGCCTCACATCCAAGTCCAACTTTACAAAATGCCACAAACAGCGCACACAGGAGACAGATTTTATTCGAAATTTAACTAATCTTCTCATGGAAGATTGAAGACCAAACGCCAAACATACATAAGTCCAAAAAGTAGCAGGAACTATTTATTGAGGCAAAAGACACCGCATAGTTCCTTTCTAATTACTGGGGAAGCAAAGCTAGAACCTTGCCCCAAGCTGGCCTTCCGGTGATACTAGCAACCCATGCGCTAACATGGGGGCGAGAATCGAATAATTTCTTGGATGGAGTCCTCAATAAGGCCTGGATATTAGGAAGGTGGTGCAGATCGGCCAAGGTGAAGCTATCACCAGCTAAGTACTTGGATTGAGACAACCTTGCCTCGTACACATCCAGAACCTTACCAAGGGTAACCTCGGTCTCGGCAACCAGAGCAGCATCTGTTGCTAACCCAAAAATTGGTTTAAAAACTTGCTCCCAGACAAGTTTTGAAGCTGATGGGTCGAATTGGTGAGCCTCCACTTCTTGCCATACCAAAATGGTTGCATACCCGCTGCCAGCAGCACCCAATTGAGTCCCCTTGCTAGCATATTGGTGAGCTACGTATTGTGTAATTGCTCTTGATTCTGCAAATACCCAAAACAATAAATAAATTATGAATCCCCACTGATCGTGTCATATGGTACTATAGTACTGTCACCACCAAGGACAGCGAGGCACTGAAAAGTTAATTACCAAAGAGCTTAAGATCTCCATCAACAGCACCCGGAACCAGACCAAATGGCTGTATCATTCAAAGAAGAAATTATATTATGTTAGATTAAGAAATCAATATTAGTAGTGAACACTTGCAATAGAAAATAAGAGTGTATGCCCTTTTCTTTCAATACCATTAGTAATATAGAGTACTTACGTTGAGGGAAATATGCGGCTCCTTCTTGTGTTCCCCAGCTCCCAGATTGACATTAACAAGCTCATATTCTACCTCTTTCTCGTAAAGGGTGGCCAGAACTCGCTGTGTGTTGGTTGATACAACGCTTCCATGGAGTTTAAAGGGTGCCATGATTTCTTCCGAAAACGAAGACAGCAAAGTAGAGAATTTCTTTTCGCTTTTGACTTTGGAAGACGAGTGACTCCGATGGTGGGATGAGCGGAATTTATGGACAATATGCTGGCAAAATCACGTGACTAATGCCCAATCAAGACAGGCCATGTAGCGGTATGGCCCTGATCCCATTCTTATCTCATTCGTAATCGTAAACCAAGGGATTACGTATTTGATGATGTTAATCCAATACTCACTCCATGTCTGTTTTTTTTTCTTTTCCTTTCCATAATTGAATATCCAGAGAAAATTTATAATACATGAAGGATAATTAGTAACATTTATAATAGTTATTCAATGAATCTCTTTTAAAAAAAGATATACATATTAAATTACATCTAAATCTATAAAAAAAATTGATAATAAGATAAGAAATAATTAGTGATATATAATAGTTATTCAATGAATCTATTTTAAGAAGAAAGATAAACACATTAAATTATATCCGAATTCATAAAAAATGATAAAAAAAATTTCACGTTTGCTCAATTTTTTTTGTTTTCTCTTTTTTTTTGAACTTATCTATCTCCTCGAGGTGAATAACTATTATTATATATTACTAGTTACGTCTTTGTATTATAAAATTTCTCTTCAATTATCTCTCGAAATTTCGTTACTTACTTTGTTTTATGTATAGTATTTATCTTTATATTGCAAAGATAGAGAAATGCATATATTTTAAAGTAGAACTATAATTAATCATGTAATTATGGACAAGATTTTTTTATTAACCACATAAGGATCAGATAAACGTTACATATTTTTTCATATACTTCGTTTTAGAAATCATATATAAATATTAGAACATCTCAGAATAAAAATATGAACAAATAAAATGGAAGGGAAATAACAAATTATTTAATAATAATTTATTGTGCAGAGTGAGGTATGGCTGGTGGGGAGACGTGGAAAGCGATTAGAAATGGGAAGCACGCTTGGCTAAATGCGAAACATATTGAGCTTCTAGACTCTTCTAACGATATAAAGCAACATTTCGGCACCTTTTTCTTTTTCTTTTACCTTTTCTTTTTATCTGTTTAGCGTGCTTTACAATATTATACGCATATTTTATTTACGTGAAAAATCGACATCGCGCAAATGTTGTTCTCCTGTTTGAACAAGTAAGAATTAGCAGAATTAAATTTCATTATCTTTTCATATTAAATTTTGTGACTGGGACAAAGGAGGTTTCTAGAAGTAAAAAATTAAGGAAAAATAAAGAATATTAATCTCAAGGAAATAATAATAATAATAATAACAACGGTCTTATGACTTATGAGCGAGAAGACGAGTCTTTCTTTATATATATATATATATATATATATATATATAAAAGTTAAGTAATTTATGTTTTTGCAATATTATTAAATTTTTATTATTTTTAACTGGAGGAATGGTAGAAACTTTTTCATATCATAAATTTCTTAGTTGTCTGGGGATAATTATAAGCTATTTTGAGCAAAGCATGATTAAAAAAAAAATGGTTTTCTATGGTAAATCTGATTTTTTGTGACCAGCTGCTAGGTGGTCGTTGTTATAGGAGTATATGATACGAGAATGTTCATTGATGTAAGCAATTAAGAACATTATTTCAAAATAAAAGTTAGATGCATGTAAAAATTGTACTTTAGAAATATTTAAAATGAATTAAAGAAAAAATCAAGATATATCCTTTGACGTAATATTTTTCACAAGCTCATGCCTAACAAATCCAAAATATGCAGCAATTGCTCGATTGATAAGAAAAGAAAGGAGATTCAAGCTTCAGTTCAGGCCCAGTACGTTCCAAATAAATTATATACGACAATTGTTTTTTTTTTTTAAATCTAAATACAAAAATACTCAATAATTCCTAGTTTATCAATATCTTATCGTAGTCATAAGTAACACCTGAAATTAAGAAATGTTTTTTGCACTGCAACAATTATGTCTCCATAATTTTTTTTACTATTAAATTTAAATTCAATCTAAAGGGCTGCGGCAACAAAGAGGCCCACGATGGAGAGGGACCGAACCTTACATCTTGATCTCATTTTATCAATACGTGAATGAGGAGAGATTTCACAAAAATTCTTTTTACTATTTATTTGGTCCCAACGTGTCATTGTAAGTAGATAGCAGTTGGCCAACCACTAACACCCACGAGATCCATTATTGGTGTTTAGGCCGAGCTAAAGTAAAATTTACGCGACGTACAACCAATCTTCTCGTTTGTCGTGACTTGCGAAAGAAAACGAAAGAAGCAAAAATAAATCATTTCATAACCCATAAATATAAACAGATAAGATAAAATAAACAATGGTGAATAATGGAATGCTCAAAGAATATGCGGGATATGCTCGCTATTGGATTAGTTACATTATTCATCTTATACTCTTTAGATTTTATTAATCTATACATTTTATTTTTATTTTTATTTATCAAATTTCTTTACTCTTTATATTTTATTAATATAATTTCTCCCATTGATTTTGATTAATCTTTGAATAATAAAAGACATGCGACATGACATCTTAGCTAAAAAATACACAGGAAAAAAATAAAATATATAAAAGGAAAGAAACAGTAATAAAAAAAAGTATTTATAGGTAAATGGTTGAATGGCATTTATAGGTAGATGATTTGATGGAGTTTGAAAATAAAAAGCCTAGATTTTAATTGAAGAAATCTTTTCTTTATTTTCTTCTGTTATGAAGTGTAGAAAAACAGAGAGTATAAGATATTTCACAAAGCAACAAAACAGATATTATAAAAGGGATGATGTTTATTTGATTAAGTTAGAGAGCCTTATATACGCATACAAGGGAACAAACTCAACTACTCATTCTACTTTTTTTGGACGACAGACTCATTGGCTCCACTAATTCAACTAGAAAATTGGAAAACAAGCAGTAGACTAGATAATAAATTAACTTACTTAACAAGTAAATAGGAATAATTAAGCAACTAACAAAATAATCAAAAAATCTATTCCACAAGCTTGTGTTATATTTAACGCTCTCCACATGATAACATCAGTTTTCATTCTTTTTACTATGTTTAGCTGATGATAAAGGTTTTCAGACCTGTTGCCACTCAAGCGTTTTGTGAATTTTTAGAATAAGTACAATCAATTCCCCTTTTTTTTTTTTAAAAAAAAAACATTATTTTGGTTCATTTCTAACATTATAATTATAGCAGCAATTGATTTAGACACGTATACAATTTGAATAAAATGGATAGAATGATCATATGATTAAAATGATTGTATGTTTTTTGGATGGTAAAAATTATTTCCGAATAAATTTATGCATCAATCAAATCTAAGAAATTAAGAAGGAAACAAAATCCTTAATTTCAGAGATCCCTTGAGGTTATGAAATGACCATTTGTGAAAAAAATAAATCCGAGTCATACGTCGGGCGGAAATAACGACAATTTGATCAAAAAGATACAGGGAGCCTGCCTTTCCTAAACTGAGTAAGATGGCTTTCAGAGGGGACAACTCTACCGAGTTTTGTTTATCCAGTGGGCCTCCGTAAATTATCCCCTTCAAAAAGATCGGTGGGCTTTATCGATCCTTTATCTGATTTCAGCCCAACATCGTTTCCATCTATATAAATTTGATGTCTCAAAAGCACCCTTAACTTCGACGGCTGAAATTGTGCAAAGCAAGATGAAAAAACGTAATGAAGAGAAATCCAACGGCTACAGAGAGCGTAAAGAATTCTAACCAAGGGCTTATATTATTCTGCCATATCCCGCAGAAGCTCGGTTATTTCCTCATCAAACATTCGGCTTTCCTCTCTTACCATCCCTAACCACCAATTCAAAATCTTCTCTCCCTTTACTTCACTAACCACCACCTCCACGGCTCTACTCACACACCAACAATACCATTTCTTCCTCTTTCACGTTCACCACCCAATAAAGCAAAGCAGAAGCGGAAGATTTTGGAATGCAATTGTGCCGCCATTCCTTCAAGTTCTACTGAAGCAGACCATCAAATGATTTTATTGCTGTGAACAATTTTTTTTTTTTTGCAAATTGAATAAAAAATATAAAATCATTTAGAGAAATTATTTCAGTTTTATAGTCTGTTTTATGGTGTGAATTTATAAAAACATATGAAATCAAAAGTGAAAAACATTATTTATAATTTTTTAACAAAACATTTTGTATTTAACTATTTCTTATTTGTGTTTTTCATAATTTTTTCTTTATAAAAAGGATTTAACCTAGTTAATCAATAGATTATTAACTAAAAAAATATATTAAATAATTTTTTTAAAAAAAGCTTCAGTGTTTCACAAGATTGTGTCGAAAAGCATAAATAACAATTATTAAAAGCTTACATAGAATTGAACAAATAATTTTTTTTAGTGTTGATAAGAATATCAATTTTTGAAAAAATATGAATTTAATTTTTCTATATTTATTTACAAAAGAATGAATAATATTAAAATAAAAATTATATTAATTTGACTTTCAACTATTAATTAATTAATATGAGTTACTTTCTATAAAACAAAGAGAAAAAATAATTTGAAATACACTTTTAATCTAAAAATGTATTTTAGACAAATTATATATATTAATCATGCCACTATAATTAAAAAGTTATCTAAATCTATTTTTTTTAAATAATCATGTTTTAAAAATTTATTCCAAAATCCATACATATAGAAAAATAAATCAAAATTGTCAGTAAAAATAATTTTAAATTAACTGGATGAGAATTTTAAAAAAACTAATAAATTAAAATCATAAATTTTAAATAATAAAAATAATTAACAAAAAAAACACTAAAATAAAATGGGACCAAGTCACAATATAATTAAAGTTTGAAATTAAAAAAAAAAGAGAATTTAAAAAAATGACAAATTAACACGAGTAGATTTAAAATAACATAAAAAAATCGAGAAAACATTATCCGAAAAACACTTTTAATCTAAAAATTTATTTTAGAAAAATTATAT